CAAACCTCTCCGACCCTAAATCCTAAACCCTGAGATACTATAGCCTAGAACAGAGAACCCTAAACCTTAAACCCTGAGCCCTATAGCCTAAAACAGAGAACTCTAAACCCTAAACCCTATAATTAGCCTAAAACAGAGCCTCTCCAGCAAGAGCGGGTGGTGATAGCCCAGGTGGACGAGGCAGTGGAACACCAGCAGCGCCTGTTTCAGGCTGTATGCCAAGGATGAAACAGGGTTAGATGCGTGCCTACATAGATGGGGGACTAGGGTTTACCTGTAACCGAAAAGACCTACCTTTTTCAGAAACTATATATAGAAACCATAATAAGGACCCCCAAAAATGTAGGTCTTTTCGGTTACAGGTAGGGGTTTTGCTTTAAGTGTAGTGGCCCAATCGCTCCGCAGAGCCTAGGGTTTAGGGCTTATAGGGGAGATCGACAGATAGATCGATGGATGGATGGATGGATAGATGGATAGATACCCACATCGTCATCATCGTCATCGTAATGAGACATGATCATCACAGAGGTGGTCTGCACGCAGAGTATGTAGGGGTTCAGGGAGCGGCAGTTCAGACTGCACCGGAGCTTTTTTGCAACGAGCAGGCCTGCAAAGCCCCCGAACTTTTGGACGCTTTACCACGACCCCTGCCCCTAACCCAAAGCTGCAAATCGTAGCTTGACAAAGCTGTCGACAGTGAACGAATACCTACATTAAAGCACCCGCAAAAGCCGTAAGGTAGTGCACTGGGGGTAGGACCATGACCAGCGCGAACTGACAAGTTTTCAGTCGCCTATGTTCAAGGCGAAAGGGATTGAATCTAGGGTGCTTGCGCCTCAAGTAGTTAAGCCACATTCAAGGTACAGGGCTTCGGGGTGTTGGGGGTAGAGTTTCAGGGTAAAGGGCTTGAAGGCACCGGCTTTAGGGTTCAAGGGTTTGGGGTGTCTGTGACTGAGGTGCTTCATACAGGCCCGAGCGGCGAAGGCCCTTTTAAATAAAGCATCCCAAATGCCTAAACCCTAAACCCTAAACCGTCTCTTTCTACACTCAACTGCTACATCCAACACTTAAGACTTCGAGCCTATGGCAACCCGAAATTCGACATCTTGCCACCTCGCGCCCCACTTCAGCCCAACGACAGCTGGAATCCAGAAAACACGGACCCCATGAAGGCTATCAACATCAAAAATTCCCAACTCTCCAGCCATATCTGGCCCTAAAATACCAAACTCTGCGCCGTAAGCCCTAATTAAACCCCAAACCCTAAAC